AATGAAATTCCACGGCTGTGGTCGGTGCAACCTCGGATCAGGTTCGCTCTGTGGTCCGCTGCCGCACGGCTATCCTGCTGCTGTGTTTATTGATCGTCGGCATCCAGTCTTTTGGGATTTCTATTCCACCTTCGCTGTTGATGTTGTCAGGGTGAAGTCTAGAGTGGATTGCCTCTTTCACCCTGCATATGTAGAGATAACGATCACATCAATAAACTTTACTTCGTATTGGGTATTCAGGGCGTGCTCTAGAAAGGCAGAAGTTAAGTCCTAAAGAGTCGACCGGATATCCCTAGACTTTGCGGCACTAACGAGGAATCCTGTAAATTACACGCGGGATTTTGCGAACCTGAGTGGTTCACAAACTTTTCGAGTGTTCTTCCAAATTCCAAATGGTTTATCAGCTGGTAAACCGATAGAAAGAGTGTTCACTGCTTTTATGACAGAAATATACAAGAGGTTTGTCAGAGAGAACGATAAATTAATCCTATTTTGTGATCAAGTCACTGAGTCTCATGAAAACCGCCAAAAAGGATGATACACTAATCAAAGCAATAGAAACTGACAGCATGAAAATGCGATTTAAACATCGTCCAGCTATTTTGTTCACCAGCGGTCCTCTATTTTCCTCAACCAAATTGGTTTCTGTTGCCTCAGCTTGTATTAAAGCTCAAATTTAATGGAGTCCTGGGTAAAATTTACAGTAAGAGCTTAAAACGCTTGAAATTGGCAGACTATCAAACGAAAGCTAAAATCTCGGACAACAATTAGAATTGCCATAAATCTTGGGAGCACATTCACTTTTTTTAATTTTAAATATAAGATTTGATGATGTTAAAAAAAACAACATCTTTGTCGTTGTTTTTGACGTTCAAAGCGTCCTCTACGTTTCCTTTAAACCAAAGGCCCTTACCAAAATAAAATCTGGAAATTCGCCCCGTGCACGCCATTTTACAGGAAGGGAAGAAGTTTCAGTTTTCTATGGTTATGCTGGCAAAAATTGAATAGATTGTTCACCAATCAGAGCGCACATTGTGTCTAAGTTATATCATAGCAAGTAAAAACCAATAAAAATGTGTGTATAATTCGGCTTTTCAAACAATACAAAACAACTGACGAGGGACTGTTGAATTAATGTGGTAGCATGTTATTGGTATTAGTGACCTGTATACACTCAGGGCTGGAAATCCTAGTAGTTTCCGTTCAAAATAAAGTGATCATAGTCGAACGCTAGAGAGAACCGAACATAGTCATCATCATCATCATCATCATCATCATCATCATCATAGTTTATTTAATAAAGCAGGTTGAGGGATAGGCAAGACATTACGTCCTGATGTGGACCTGCACCAATTAAACTATCAATTAATAAAAACCTAATTAGTGAATAAACCGAAAATGGGTATATAAATAATGACAATTGAAAGAAATAAATATTAATAACAATACAGAGTAAATGTTAAAAGTGGTTAAAGCTAACAGATTTGTTGAAAACGCTGCAGGAAGCTTTAGCAAAACTGATAGATTTCAGAATTCTCTTATTTTTCCTGAGTTTTCTCATGAAAGAAGTTAAGTTTGAACAGTTCTTGTTGTCTTCAGGAAGGAGGTTACAGGATAGTGCAGCTCTGTGCTTAAACGAAGATCTTCCCATTTCTGTTCTTGGTCTATGAACTTAACTTTTAAGGATTTTCTTAAGTCATAAGGAGTCTCGGATTTCACTATTAAGTCATTTAGAGGCTCGATGCTATTTCCGTGATAGATATTGTACGTAATAGTAACTAAAAGTCTGCTAATGTAAAATGAAACAATAGAGTTCCAGTGTGTAGCCTTGATGATGTCATCATTGTGGATGCTATGGGGTAGGTTGCAAATAATTCTAGTAGCTCTCAAATGAATTCGATCAATATCATCCGTCAAGGCTGAAGAACAAGACCCCCAGACTACAATGCCATACAAAACGCTAGGGATAATATTTTTAGAATAAATGTTTTCTAAGGTTGGTATCGGTAAAAACTTTATCCGATTTAGTACTGCGACTTTGTTACTGAATAACTTACAAACGTTATTTATGTGCTCCTGCCATGATAGCTTGCTGTCAATTGTCACCCCAAGACATTTAGATGATGATTTGTACTCAATAAAGCTCAGTATTACCAAAGGCCGAACGTGGCAGGGGGCCAATAAAGTTCTGGCTAGAAATTATCAGCGCTTCAGATTTCGATTCGTTGGCGATTAATCTGTTAGATTGACACCAGGGGTACAGCTGGTCTAGTACAGACTGGAGTGTTAAGATGATATCGTCCATGTTGTTTCCAATTGTAAAATAGTGGTGTCATCGGCAAACATAAATAATTCACCACTAGTTATTGATTCTGGAAGATCAATAACTAGTGGTGAATAACTAGAAGATCAATAACTAGATGGGCCCTAGTATTGAGCCTTGGGGAACTCCATGTGTGATGGTTTTGGGCTCGGACTGATATCCTGATATTTGGACAAATTGCTTACGTGCAGACATGTAATCGGTAAGCCACGAAAGCAAATCGCCAGATATCCCAATGGCCTTTAGCTTCTCTAGAAGGATGGTATGGTTCACTGGGTCGAATGCTTTTCTAAAGTCAATAAAAAGCACGCCCACTTTCAGGCCCTTGTCTAGCGCATTTTTCCAGGTCTCTTTTAGGTGAAGTAAGAGGCTTTCAGTTGAATAATTTTTCCGAAAACCCCACTGTCTATGAGATAACAAGCCTTGTGTGTGCAAATGGTTGTTCAGGGTATCACTGACAACATCTTCTAAGATTTTCCCAGGGATACTGAGGAGGGAGATAGGTCTGTAGTTGTTCACTTCTGTTGGTGAGCCTTTCTTAAATATGGGGTTAACACGTGATAATTTCCAGCTTGAAGGGAAAGATGCATCACATATAATCTTCCTGAAGATTGGTAAAAGACCGTGGATAACGGGGTCACCAATCATGGAGAGGACCCTGGGGGATACTTGGTCTGGACCAGTAGCCTTCTTGGGGTTAGGAGCTTTAATTAGTTTCTTTTTTACCAGTTCCCAGCTCATGTCAGTTTTGTCCCTGGTAGGAGTGACTCTAGTGATAAAGGTGTTTATAGTTGACAAGTTCAAAGGATCAAGTTGCTTAGTGAGATCTTTGCTGACATTCACAAAAAAAGTCATTAGAATACTCTGTCTTCTCTAAGTCATGGGTCATTATCTCCTCGTTGTGATCACAGATTGGACCGATGTTTTTAACTTTATGTTTCCTCAAGACTTGGTTGGTCAATTTCCAAAATTCATTAGAATCATTAGCTTCATTGAATATTTTTTGCCAATAATCAGCTTCAGCACTCCTTAGTAGCTTCTTAGCCTCATATCGCTTCTGTTTGTAGAGACTCCATATTTCGGGGTCGCCTGATGACTTTGCCTTTTTAAAGAGCTTGTATCTTTTTTTCATTTCTTTCCTGATGGAGGTGTTGATCGAAGGAAGAGACTTATCTCTTATTTTAGCATCTCGTGGGGGTAGGTGGTGATGTAGGATTTCACGGTACAGACATTGCCAAGCGTTTACACTGTCATCGATGTCGTCGAATAAACTAGTTATATGCCAGGAAGCCCGGTGGAAGTCACTCCTAAGTTGCCTTGTGTCTAGCGATTTATAATCCTTGTTGGGATAACTTTGGGTTTTGCATTACCTCTTGCAACTTTGAAGACTGCGAATAATAGGTGGTGGTCAGAGATGCCCAGGTCGATGGAGCCAGAGGTTTGGATTTTTGAGGGTTGACAAGTGATCACGAGGTCAATAAGTGACTTGGAGTTGGCACTAATACGGGTGGGCTGTTGATAATGTTTTTTTTAGTCCACAGCTACATAGAATCCCTCGTAGGAGTTTTCCATATTCGGATTCCCTATTGTTAGGTTTGTGCAACACATCAGAGTTGAAGTCACCAACAAGGATTACATTTTTTCTTTTCAGCCAGATATTAGCAATCAGGTCTCTGAAAGAGTCGAAAAAGGAGGAGTCATCAGGTGGTCTGTAGACACAGCCAACAAGGAAGGATTGGGATCTCATGGTGATGTTCAGCCATGATGCTTCTAAATTTGGTCTTTCCCAAGAAACAGAAGGGTATACAGTAAGATCTTCTTTGAAATATATCAGAACACCACCTCCACAGGAACCACGATCCCTCCTCACAAATTTATATCCAGAAATTCTGATCCAATCGTCTGACACGCTTGAGTTAAGG